CTCCTCAGGTGCGCAAGTCCGCGTTGCAATCGCACGTGGGGGGCGCCAAAGGCTCCGCAGTACACAGAACGGAGGCATCCCTGTGGCCTACACGCGCCTCGACATAAAACTTTTGGGCTGCTGCACGCAGGCAGACCGGACCGTTGTAGAAGCAGCCGTGGGAGGGGCAGGGAGGAGGGATGCGCGCGAAAAACGAGCCAGTGACCAACCCCTCAACAGAGACCCTGGGGCGGCACTGCGCACCGCCCGTCACCCGGAGGGCTCCCCCCCCCCCATGATGTCTTCTTATGTGCACCACAGGGGAGGGTGGAAGGAGGGAGGGAGGGTTGGGGAGGATGCATCACCAATTCCAATGCTGCAGTGAACCCTCCCGTCCCAAATCCCCGCCTCATAAGTCACTGTAGGTGTTCCTTCCCACTGCGGGAAGCGCCCCCCTTGAATGACGAACGCCCAGTGGGCATGCCACTCTTGGGAGACCCTGTCTTGTAAATGGTATTCCCACTCCACCCTTCTACCAAGAACCGCACAATTGGAGCCCCGTTTTGAAAAGTTGAACCCCTGGCAATACATTGAGTGGAGGTCTCCAGCAGAAACCCAATCTTGAAGAGAACTAGGTTTGATATGGGAACGTCTACGCCGTTTGGCATGCGATCCAGGATCAACCACCGCTTGCGCGCGCCGCCCAGGGACGCCACGGGGAGGGAGGGAGGGAGGGAGGTGAGGCAACGATAGGCCCCCGATTAGGAGACTCACGCTCCCAGCCAGATTCGGGCACCCAGGCCCCGATCGGGCGAGGAATCGGCGCCCAGGGGGCGATGCCCCCCCCTGAGCCAGCTGTGCCCCTCTCTGGCGCCCCTGGATATGGGGGGAGGCTGAATGGGGCCCTGGGACACACTAATAAACAGACACAAATAACAGGATCCCCCATAGTTTCCAATATTTTCGGGTTTTTTGTCTCCCCCCACTTCCCATATTTTCCAAAATTTTCTGGTGGATCGACGATTCATTGTGTCTGTGTGTTTTTACCCCTCCTGAGAGGCAGGGGCCGCGAAGGCAGCTCGCCTCGCCCTGCTCCTCTGGGGCGGAGTCCGCGACCGACTCTGGCCCGGCGGCCACGGGCTGCCACCCCGGCCCGCCCTCGCCTGCGGCCGCCATGGCCCCCCCCTCCGAGCCGTTGCGCGGCGGCGCCGCCCGAGCTCGGCCTGGCCGGCCAGCCCAGCACCTCTGCTCGCCAGAGGCTTCCACCTTTCCGCAGTTCGTCGCTCTCGTCCCCTCGCCCTCCGCCTACACCACCTCCTCCTCCTCCTCCTCGTCCTCCTCCTCCTCCTCCTCGTCCTCGTCCTCCTCAGGGGAAGGGGGGGCCTGCCCCATTGCAGGGGGAGGGGCAACCCCCTCGCTGTCTGGCACGCAGGACGATGGGGGCAGCCCTTCATCCTGGATCGATGTTTGGCATCGATCCAGGATCGCAGGGGCAACCCCTTCGCTGTCTGGCATCGATCCAGGATGAAGGGGCAGCCCTTCATCCTGGATCGATGTTTAACGGCCCCACGGCGCGTGGAGGGCACAGGGAAGCCAGAAACGGCGAGAAAATCAGGACCAGTTTCCCCCGGAACCCTTTCCTTCCTCCATGGCGAGCTGTCCTCGAGCACTCCTCGTTCCCTCGGCACGGACAAGCAGAAGCTGGCTCAGGGGCGTGAAGACCGCCAGGCCGCCGCCTGTGTGCTGTGGGGCGCCAGGCTGCTGGGCCTTGCTTCGGCGGGAAGGGCCGAGGACACAGACAAGACTCCTGAATCCAGCAACGTGCCCCCTGGAACGTTGAGGCGTGTCTGGGGGTAGATTCTCTAATTTGTGCGGTCGGGGCTGGTACGGAAATTGTAGAAAGAATGCCCAACAACAACACCCTTCCGAAATGTACGAGAAAATCTGTCGACACACGCTTGAAAAAGGGTCCCTACTCCTTTCCCCCTCCCCTGTGGTCCAAAATCCTGGAGTATGGGGGGGATGGGTGACGAGCTCCCCCGAAATGGGAGATGGAGAGCCTTTCCGCTTGCTAGTATTTCGGGCACCTGCCAAAAATAAAAGCGACCAACCTCAGATGAGTTGCACAGGGAGTGAACTGAAGTGGGACACCCTCTACAAATAGCGAGAGATAACCGAGGCCAGAACGACCAGTATGCAAAGCATACTTGACACGAGGTTCAAAGGGGCCTCTTGTACGCCTCAGGCCACGTCGGACAAAGCAACTCCAGATGAGAGCTCTACCTGCTCCTCCTGTAGTGCTTGCCCATCCTTCTCGTTTGCCTCCTAGTTAGTCGCACTCCTCCCCATCATCTCTCTCTCTCTCTCTCACCCCCTCCTCTTGCACACGGCGGGGATGAGCGAAGGCACGCGGGAAGGAGGCCTCCAAGTCCGTACTCGTCCCCCTCGTCCTCCTGCTCCACCGCTGCCCCCTCCCTCTCCCCTCCCTCCTCGGGGGGGGGGGGTTCCCCCTCCCCCTGCCGCGGGCTCGCGGTCCGCCTCGGAGCGGCGAACATCATTGGGAACGGCTAGCGCTGTCAGAAACCGAGCAGGCCAGGGGATGGGCAAGTAGGAGGAGCCCCGCGAAGCGGTGGATCCTGCCAGCCGGCCTCATCGATGGCAGCGAGCTCAAGCCTCAGAAAGGGAGCTCATAGGGGCTTGACTGAGCGCAGCGCATCTCCTAGATGCCTTCCTCCTGGGAACAGAAGAAACGCTTGCATGTGAACGAAGTGTCGTCGTACTGTTTAGCTTTCAACCAGCACTGTCGTTCGCATGCATGGTGGAAGGTGCAAGTACATGTCGCAATACCGCATGATCATGACGATCTGGAGGATGTGCCAAGTAGAATTGCTCATGGGACTCGAGATCAGCAGCAACACATGCCGAATAAACAATCGCGAAACGGGGAAGAGGAGGGGACGGAACCTGATTTACAGCATGATCGCCAAACTCGTATACAAGCCGCCATGATGTGTTCGCCTCAGGCTGATGCGCCAATCCTATGCCCAACCACGACGGTGGAAGCTGCCCGACAATCTTGAAATCACAAAGGGGCAGACACACTACACCAGCAATACGTTCCAATAAAGAAACTGCAGAGGGCTGCCCAAAGAAGACGTCCCAAATTCATTGCCCGAAGACACCGACCAGGAAGGTTAATCCATGGGAGCTTTCCTCGAAGCTCTTGCCAAGAAAGAAACGCTGAATAATCACCGGTGCCTCCAAGCTCCGCAGACTTCACGCAGACTTCACTTGATCGCGCAAGGCTTTGAATCTCTCTGCGCACTGCTTGCGGGACTTGCCCTCGACGCAAGCTGAGATCTTGTCCCAACGCTCAGCTGTTGTGAGTCCAAGCGACGCAGGGTAAGTGACCAAAGCTTTTTCTAATGCTGCCTGCTGGGCCTGGCTCCAAATCGAATCATCCGATAAAGAATCAAACTTGGCAGATGTCGATCTTGCGTCGGAACCCTCGTTCGATCTGGTTTCGACAATCTGTGAACTGACCGTCTTGTCAATTTGCGAAGGCGCCTGGGACATACTGGACGCCTGACCAGCTAACGAGCTCAAACCACGAGCCTTGTCCGTCGCATCTGCTTCCGAACGCCGCTTGCCTGTGACCTGCTCGATGAAATTACAAATCTTACCCCAACGATTAGGGGAGCCCCCAGGGAAGCGGTTCATGCCTTTCGCTAACGCAGCAAGCTCGTCCTGAGCCCAAGGTGTTCGGTCAACTTTCTCTTGCAATTCCCGCTCGCGACTGGCAGACGCCTTCAGGTCAGCGGACATAGCCCTGAAACGATCACGTAAGAGCTCTGGTGGGCCTGAAGTCTCCAAGTCCTTAGCAGCAGCGACAACCGAGTCGCTACCAAGTGAAAGAATAGGTCGAAGTTCTTCCACGCTGAAGCCCAAGTCTTTCCCAGCTGCGGTTATATACTCGCGCGCTCTCCGGCCAGCCTCACAACGTTCGTCAGTTTCGCGCTTGCGCTCTAGCTCCTCTCGGCGCCTTTCCTCTCGAGCACGCTCCTTCGCACGCTCCCTGTCCAACTCGTCCTTCTGTTTTCTGTCCTTCCCAGCCAACCGCCTCCGAAGAGTATCTTCCTCAACCTGCTGTCTCTTAAGCAGTTCAGCCTTCTCTCGCTCACGGTGAAAACGCTCCTCCTCAGCCTTCATGTGTCGCAAGCTGCGTCTGGCTGGTGCTTCACGGATGTACGCGATCACCCGCATGGGCAAGAGAGCAAGCTGCACTATAAAAAGATTGGCTACTCCAACAGGCGCAAGGCTCATTCCATCGACTTGACAATTGCAGAACAATGTCTCCATAATTGCGTTCTTCTCCTTTGCCGAGAGATCAACGCTGCTCCGTAATCGCAATTCTGAAACTCTAGCATCTACTGCGTCTTTCAACTGGCCTTTGAAACCGGGTGCCTTCATCATAATCGACCGGTGCTGTCTGCACAACGATGTCTGATTCACATACTGTAGCAAGCTCATGAACGCAACAAAACCGATGAACACCGATTGCAAAGAAACCTTCTGGCCAACCATCGTCTTGTAGTAACGGTAATTATTATACATGGCCTGCTCAGGATGTTCGAGAGCGTAGTCGTAGGATGCTCGCATCTCGTCGTCGGACAAGACTTCGTAGGCGGCAGCAATCTTTGTGAACATCTGCGTCGCTTCCTCCTCCTTACCCACATTCTTGTCTGGATGCCACTTCAACGACAACTTTCTGTATGCACGTTTTATGGCAAATGTGTCCGCGTCGGCACGCACACCCAACAATTCGTAGCAGTTGTCCTTTCCGCAATACTTTTCCGCAGTGCAAGGGGCGACAACGATAAGACAACAAACGCACAGCCTGCATAATCGCTCGTTCCATCGCTTGCTTGTAGCTTGGGAATTGCATTCCATATGACGCGCCACAATGTCACAACTGCAACATTAACGCTGACCCACAAAATCCCAGTTGCGACTTGAACTTGAACCAGAATGGCTACGGAGCTCGGGAACGGAAGACTTCGATACTACAAACCCCTTCCCCACCAAACCCGTTTCTTTTCGACGCCTGGATGTCTGCCAACTTCGATCGAAGGTCCATCATTCTACGGGGAATTTGTGCATTACGACGCGATCCTGGGCTCCTGATCCCACGTGAACCCTCCGAACTTGAACGACCTCCACCCTCACGGTCCCCAAAGACCAAAGACTGAATCTTTCTTTCATCGAATTCGATGTGCGCCGGGGGCTCTTCTCTGTGAAGCCTCATGCGCCAACCTTCAACTTCCGCGTCGGCGTCAACTGGAGAGCGTTCAACCTTCGGATGGCGTTCAACCTTCAACTTCGGCGTCGGCGTCTCCGCGGCGTAGAGGCGCCCGAACCTACCGCAGTCCGACTCGAGGGTGCGGGAGGGCATGTGGGATACCCTGGATCCCTTCATACACGCCACCCTCCCGAAAAGAAGCAGCCCACCCCTCCTTCGCAGCCTAAGTCTCTGGACCCCCTGTTCGCAAAGGACGCCTTACCATTCTGGACCCCACGGCAAACTTGCTAGTGGAATTCGTGATGGCGGCCATGCTGGCGAGAGCGATGGCAATAGAAGCTACTGCGAACGCGTAAGTCAAAATTGTCACCCATGTCTCGAAAAGACATCACTGATGAGCAGCATTAGAAAGGCGGGGGCAAGCAGCCGTTGGCTGGTGCCTTGCCACATGGTGCACTGCGGAACACCACGGGATGGATTCGGATCACATGCTCCCTTCGCCTCGCTCTCCCCTGCCCGGCATGCTTTTCCCTCTCTCCCCTGCTGTGCTGCGGTGCTCCCCCCCCTCCCACCACTCGTCTCCATTCGTCCCCTGCTCCGCGGCGAGGCCGTCTTCCTCCATGCCCATGCCGTCTCCTGCTTCCTACACCCCCCTCCCCAGTCCTCTCCCCACCTCTCGCCCCCCCCATCCACTTCCGCTGCATGCATCTCCGCCCTGCTTGCGCAGCGAAGCGACACACAGCCGCGCGCCGCCCAAGGACGGAGGGGCAGGACAGCGAGGAAGAGAAGGGAGCGGGGAGAGCACGAGGATGAACGGAGGGGAAGGAGGAGAAGACGACACGAGGAGACGACACGTATGGAGGGGAAGGAGAGAAGAGAACCCGTCTCTTCCCCAGCCCTCCTCGACCTGTGGGACACGGGACCTGACTGAAAGGCGATCAGGTCTGGGCCCTAGCTTGAAGAAAGAAGGCGCAGCCATACGTCACGCCAACTTCTGGGCGAAACGGAGGCGCACATGCCGCATGCCGAGGAGTCCTCAACCCCGGCCTCGCCTCGTGCTCATCGACTGTTCCCGGGAGCATCGGGAGCACCGCTCTGAAACATCGAAAGCCATCGGATACTAACACAAAGCATGCTTTGAAACCCAGTGTAAAAAAGAAGGAGAGAGGGCACTATTCATCTTGTGCAGTTGTGAAAGGGGACGACAGAAACGGCAAAGAGAAACAAGAGGAATGATAGGAGGGGGTGAAGAAGCGCAAGTACCACGATGCGCAGCAAGTGCCAATCTAACCCACATGCTGATGGAAGCCTGAGCTGCGCGAAGTAAGTTACCGTATGCGGAGGATGATTGGGCAGGGGGCGCGGCGTGCCAGACGCTGTTGTCAGAAAGAAAGCACAGCACAGCACTGCATACGCATAGGCATGTTCACGCGCAAGCTGAGAGTGCAGATCAGGGAACGCCAGCCCAACTGCGAACGATGGGATCGGAGAGCGAGCGAAGGACCTGAGCCAAAGGCGGCGGGGACAAGTGAGGTAATGCGGGAAAGACTCAGGGCAATGAGGACAGCCAGAACGGCAGGTCATAGGGCTCTCGACCTTGACCCTGTGCGTGGTCGTCCACCCGCCCACCGTCGTCTTGATGTGTGCCCAAATCCAGGCGGGCGTTGAGGCGAGCAGCACTAGCTTTAATTCTGGCCACGTGCGCAGCAACTCCAGGAGAGGCGGATCCGCTAGCTCTGAGAGCCACTTGTCACATCTTCTCTGAAGGTGGGGCATGTAGTCAAGGTAGAGAGAGGAGATCCACGAGGAGAGATAGAGGCCTTGAGAACGGGCTCGACGGGTCTCTTACCCGGCGGACAACCGACCCATTCGAGACGAAATGGGTCGGTTTCTGCTGCCGCTGCACTGTGGCTCGAACCTGTGGGGCGGCAGTGGTGTAACACCCACGAATTGCAGACTGGCTGGCCGGGAACAGGCGACGCCGCGACAGCCTGAACCACGGCAGGCTTCCTGCAGCGTCGGCCCATCTCTGCAGTATCGCCCGGACTCCTTCCAACGCGAATTAGACCATCAGCCCCGGAAGGTCGCAACGACCCCAAACGAATCTTCTGCGCTGGCTCTGAGTTGCTCGAGCCAGGGGCCACAATCCTGCAGAGTGAAGCCGCCTGTTCGCCAGAGGTGGGCCTGGCTGCAAGCTGCTAGCAGCTGGTGTGGCCAGCTGGTGTCACGAGGGAATGAGGGGCGAGGAGGAGGAGAAGGAGAAGGTGGGAAGAGGAGGACAGAGGGAGGGAGAGTGTGGTGGTGGTGGTGGTGGAGGAAAGAACAAGCAAGGAGGACGGAGGAAGAAGGAAGAAAGAGAAGATGGGGAGGACGGGAGAGCAAGACAAAGGGGAGAGAGAGAGAGAGAGGAGCATGCAAGAGATGATGAACAGCTGGATGGTCCTCTTTTCGCCACCCGCCAGCCCGTCGCAGCCAAGGCCAGTCTGGGCTACGGCGCTACGGCGGCCGCGAAACCGACCTCTCGCGCGCCCTCACTCGCACGCGCAGCCGACCGCTACCTTGGAGCAGGTCTCATCCCCTCTGTCCTTGCCCTCGCCCTCACGTCCTCCTCGTCCTCGTCCTGCTCCCGCCTGGAGGATGCCTGTCGCGCCCAGGATGAGGGGATAGGAGATGGGAAGGGACAAGAGTGGATGAGAGGGAGAAGGCCACTCTGATAGTCCCGCTCCTCCTTCTCTTCCTCCTCCTCCTCCTCTTCCTCCTACTCTTTCTATTCCTCCTCCTCCTCCCCCCTAACATTCTTCCGCCTCCTGGTCATCATCATACACACCTTCCTCCTCACATAATCCCACCAACCCTTTGGGCTAGGGTGGTCTAATGACGTCGTTCTTTCCTCTTACAAGACCCTCTTCCGTTCGGAGAGGGGTATCCTCCCCCTCCCCTCCCTGAGGCTTTTTGGGGGGGTGGGCCGCGATGTGTCAGAGGGTATGCTTCTTCGCAAAATGTGGCTCCAAGAGGGCCTCCCCTGCTCAAAGATGGCCCCCAAAGCGGCTCAAGATCGGCGACGATGGCTCAAGGTAGCTTCCGGCATACCTCCAAGAGGCCCGACGAGGATCACAAGACGGTTCCAAGTGCTCTCGGAGCCCCCTCAGGCTCCCCCCGAAGATGCCACAGTCAGTCAAAAACATAAAGAACAAATGAAGTGTGCCTTCTCGCCGTTTCGCTTCCGATGCGCTTTTGAGGCCTCAAGATGGACCAAGAGAGTCCCAAGATGAGCCCAAGAGGCCCCCAAGACGGCCCCAAGAGCGCCCGAGATCGCCCCAACAGCGCCCCAGGAGGGCCCCAAGGGGCGAATTCGAGGGCCCCAGGGGGGGGGGGGCAACCGTTGAGACTCCCCTCTTTGCACCGACGCCCTCCACGATAGCCCCAAGAGGCGCCGCATGGCTCCAAAGAGGCCCCCAGGAGAGCCCCGAGAGAGCCCCAAGAAGGCCCCTGGAGGGCCCCCAGCAGAGCTCCAAGAGGACCCCACGATCCGCCAAAAGATCCCCAACCGCGCCCCCAAAGCGCCAAAGCGCCCCAAAAGGCGATGCTGATGGCTCCAGGAGGGGGACAGAAATCGGGAACCCCCTCCTTTGATAGATAGCCTCCAAGATGGACTCAAGAGGCCCGTCCAGGGCTCCCAAGAGGGCCAAAAGAGGGCCCCAGGACGGCCTCAAGAGCAACCCGAGAGTACCCCAAGAGCGTCTCACGAGGGCCCCACGAGGCGGTGGGCCTCCTCCTCCTCCTCCTCCTCCTCCTCCTTCTCCCCCCTCGTCCCCATTCTCCATGGATCAGCCGGATGTTGTTTCACTAGATGTGTCGTTTCGTCCCTTGCCAGCTCTGGGCAAGGTTCTTGAACGGGCTCGTGGGGGTACGCGATGCGTGTAGAATGTCCTCTCCTGAGCATCATCCTATTTCTCCCCGTTGCCAAAATCTTATCGTCTCTACTCCCCCTCCTCCAGCCCATGGTCGTGAATCACACACGTGTACGTGTATATGTATTTGCTTATACACACATAGATATATATGTATACATCTCAGAGTGAGGGGGCCGAACAGTCATTCATTGTCTCTGGGAGCGTGGCTTAAGTGGGGATCCGTGGTGCGGATTCTGCTTGTTGCGTTGTTGCCTTGTTGTTGCTAGTTGTAGTCGTCCCACCCGCGAGACACCTGCGACCCACCCCGCGATCCACCCCGCGACCAACCCCGCGACCCACCCTGCGACCAACCCGCGACACACCCTGCGACCCACCCCGCAACCCACCCGCGACCCAACCCGCAACCCACCCGCGACCCACCCCGCGACCCACCGGCGACCCTCTCGCGACCCAGCCGCGACCCACCCCGCGACCCAGCCGCGACCCACCCCGCGGCCTATTCGCGACCCACCCGCGACCCATCCGCGACCCACTTGCGACCCACCCGCGACCCACCCCGCGACCCACCCGCGACCCACTCGCGACCCAGCCGCGACCCAACCGCGACCAAGCCGCGACCCATATGCGACACACCCGCGATCTCACGTTGGTATAACGAAAGAATCGGCGCCTGCGGCGGGCTCGTTGTATGATTTGTGAAACGTTGGCGCCTGCGGCGAGCTTCTCCAGGGTCTCGCAGACTGCCGACGTCCCCACCGCCCCCTCACTCTTATCCACATCTGCGAGGTGCTACGTATATGTTTGTGCGTGTGCGTATACAT